TGTCGATCTGACACTGGTAGCAGAGGCTTCGATACTGGTGGCCCTCAGGCCAAAACAAAGGTCGAAGACCGAACAGAAGCGTGAAGAATGAAGGGCTAGGAAGTGAGCCCTTGCAAGACACTCCTGTTTTGCTGTTCCCGCGCAACAGCTGCTCTGTGCCCAAATGGCTGCCACATTGGACTTGTACACAGATTGCCCGCACAGTCAGCACTGATTCTCAATTTCACACCGATGAAACTTTCTTTCTGACTGTGCTGGGGCTGAAGTCTCCGCAACTGGCGCACTCTTTTGAACATGTCCATTGCGCCATGCCCGCTTCCGTTTGGCTGAAGTAAAGCCCTCATCGAACTCAAGACATAATTTCCCTTTCTGCAAAATGACTAACATACTATCGTACACAAACGGCTTAGATAAAGGATCGCCGAGTTGCTGGTCCGAGTCTACCCACTTGTACAGTACCCCGGCGGCTGAGACACGTTCTCGAATGGACAGGACCTCAATTGCAAGCCGCTTCTCCTCCAATTGCAGTCCGCTGCTCTCTATGCGCACGACGGAGTCAAACAGGTTCTTGCTGTCCGTAATCATTACAGAAGGAATGGTGCTCAGAGCCTGATCCATACATTTGACGGGGATGGTATTCTCGTTATACCATTCGATGATCATCTGCTTAGAAAACTCATGAGCATCAACAGCATGACTCCCTGATTGGACTTCGGCTGCAGTTGAACTCCTGCACACTCTTGGCAATTTCCGTGATTGCCACGCGACCGGAGTGAACACGCCTGGCTTGCCCTCCAAAATGCTCTTGTCTGCAAAGACTGTCAGAACACCACCTTGTGATGTACCATCTCTACGGCATGCCCATGAAGCGTCGTGGAAGGTCAACAAAACTGGCTCGTGGATGCTGGCAGAGAACTTAACAACCATATGGCTATACTGCTTCTGCACACGAATGATCTTATTGGCTTGAAGAAGATCGTCAACGACAGCATTCTTGAAACAGCCTTGGAGGTACGATACACTAGCACACAACCACGGAGCAGATTGAGTTGCTCGCCACGACAGGGCTCCCAATGCGGTACGAAACCGCTTCTTCTCCTCATCTGTCAGAGCATCTTGTACTTGCAAGCGGCGCTCCCGGCTCATAGGGATTTCATGAATGGACTCCGCATATCGTTCTTGGTTGAGTTCAATGCTGCCGTCCCTCAATTGCCTAAGCTCACACCCACAGAAAGTAACTGTTTCCTTCTGGAGGTCCTTCCACGATCCGAAGGGGAAACAACTCCGCAGGTCCTGAATCTTGCCATGGAAGTAATCACCAGACCCAGTACACAACAGGTCATCGACATGAATCCCGATCAGACCCTGAAGAACACCCCCTTCATACAGTCGCCATACGCATGGCTCTAGTTTGGACTGGATCCAGCCCTGCTTGGCCAGCTCTTTCCCCAGTTTGTCGCTCCAAGCCTTTGGAGCATGAAGGAGGCCGTAAACGGCTTTCAGGATCCTGAAAAGTTCATGTTGTTTGAGTCCTAACATGAGCTTGACCTCTTCAGGAGGTTCAGCAAAGATTTGACGGGCAGACTCAGTCTTGTCTCCATTGAGGAAAGCCGTTTTAATGTCTCCGACATAGCAAGACCATCCATGGCAAGCGGCCAAACCTAACACCATGTTACGGTTTTGGGTGCTCAACGTTGGGGAATCCCTTTTGAGGTGGAGGATATCGGGATCTTGATAGCCCCGAATAATGAGACGTGCCTTAGGCTTGTGACCAGTCACGCTACCAGACTCCTCATCAGTGATGGCTTTCCAGGACAAAACCCATCGCATACCTAAGATGCGTTCCCGGGGAACATTGTGTCGGGAGGCGATGGCCACTGCCTCGTGCTCCAAGTATGAGCTCAGCTCGTTCTTCATGGCTCCCAGGAATTCCAACTTGTCAGCTTCCGTTAAGTTACGAAACTGGATCTCAGCCCTTTTCTTAGGTTTCTCATTAAGGACCCACTGGGGCTTTCCGTTCTGCTTAGTTTGGTGGACATCCCGAGCCTGAAGATCCATAGAAATTTCAAAGACCTGACTCTGCTCATCCAAAGCCTGGCAGAAGTAACTCTCATAGTTTCTAGTCCCTCCTTGGCTCGGGCGCTCCGGCAGGGGCTCCCAGACCCCTTCACTAGCTGCCAAACTTGCAAAGCAGCCGGTCTGCGCAGCCGACGAATCGAAACTGCCGGTACCCCTGCGTCCAAGATCACCAACAGACAGATCAAGTAAGTTACCAACATCTTCTTCAGGAACAACTTCCAAAGGCTCACCAACACCATCATCATCATACAAATCATCAACCCAAGTAGACCAACAAGGCTCTGGGCGCCGGGGTACGACTGCGTTCTCGGCTCACTGTCTCTCGCGGTTCTGCGCGGCCTCGGCTGCAGCTAGGCGCCGGAGTGCGTCCTCCAGGTGCTCCTGTAGGTACAGGATCTGGCCGTGGAACTGATACATCGTCTGCTGGTAGACTTGATTGGTCTGCTCGAGGAGGTCGATGCGTTCCTTGAGCGTGGCCACCTGCTGCTGGCATGCCTCGTAGACCTGCTTGAGTGTCAAGGTCTGACCCTGATCGTCCCGGACGAGTCCTCTCTCTTGAGCCAGCTCCGTCAGAATCTCCTCGGCGTTCTGACTGCTGACGCCGCTTGGCGTCTGCTGTCCTCCAGAATTCAGAGGCGTCTTCGGAGCCGCGGTTGACGACTGAGGTGTCTGTGGTGCCACCCCGGCTGGAGAGTAACTCCCCACGGTCGGTCCGGAACTCACTGTCGTTCCTGGACTGGGATTCGCTGCCGTCCCTGGTGATGAGGGAAGGCTGCCCATCTCGGCCATCAGAACTTGCCGCTTCGCGTACCAAATGACGTTCAGGTACTTGGGGTTGTTCTCGTGGTGCTCGATGAGCCACTTCAGGTAGTCGGCTTTCTCGCTGAACACCTGATGGCAGCTCATCCCAGCGAACTTGCCGTGCTTCAAGGTCCTCGCCCAGCTCGCGCAGGTTCAGCGCCTCCAGGCGGTTGATTTCCACTGTCACGGTGGACTCTGCCGTCTTCTTCTTGGTGGTGTTGGACATCTTCTCCAGCAGGTTGATGGCGTTCTGCTTGGCGTTCTGAGACGTCATGTAGAGGCCGTTTACCGGTCAATCGACGAGTCGGAGGATCAGGGGCACTAGAGGACAAGCCGCGAACTTGCGGTTCATGTTCATGGGTCTCACTGTCCTCAGGTTCCTGAGATAAGTCCTGGGAAATGTCCCTATAGTTGGCCCTATTACCCGCTCTACGCAATTCCTCCAGGGGACTAATGGGGTCACAGATGATGCCATAGGTTTCCTGAACATGTTGAGGGACAATACGCAGTTGCTCAGGTGCACATCTGTACAACACTGTTGCATGCACAACCCAGATGACGGAACCTTGGGTCTGGTTGAGCTCAGTGGACCCCTGCTTCTCAATGGCCAGCACTCGTGCGGGTCCATGCCAGCCTGCCTCATGTCGACTCGTATTATTCCTACCTTTACGATAGAAATAAACAAGCTGACCTACTTCGAAACTTTGGCTCTTACGAGCACGGCCCCGTGCTGCACGAAGGATGCGTCTGCGGCTGTCTGCTTTGAGGAAAGTTTGTCTAGCCAAGTGTGCCTTTTCAAGCGAGGACTCAAACGACTCATTGCGATCTCTAAGACTAGACGTGGCCATGTTATCCCCATTTTGAAGAAAGGATTGGACTCTAGTCTTGTCCTGGCCAAACACCCACTGATTCGGGGAGTATCCTTGAACATTGTGCATTTCGTTCTTACTGGCCAAACTCAAAGCTAACAACTCCTCGGCCTTAGCTTGGGGTCCAACTTCGGAAGACAACAAGGACATGTTCTCCTTAAGAACTTCCAAATGTCTAGAATGCTTCCCTACTTGCCATGCTGCTTCACCGGCTATGACGGAAACTCGAATCGCCTGAGCTTCGATCCACTCGATCAGTTTTTGATCCCGAAAGGCTCCTTCATCATCGAAGCGGATGTTTCCTGGCTTGGGAAGTATCCTTAGCCAGTCCTTGGCCAGGGCTGTCTTAAACTCCTCCGAACTAACGGATCCCTGCTTGCTGGTGCCCGAGCGGACGATGGTGGCAACTTGATAGTCGCTAGCCTCATCCATGAAGGAAATGCCAACAACATGCTCAAAGGGGTTCCCCTTCTCGTCTTTGTGGGGGCTATGCCACCAGAACGTGTCTACACTAATGGTTTCCCACTTCCTAGTAGCATGCGAAACTTGGGAAGTATGATGCGGTTGCGCGTGTCCTCTACGGGCACAATGCAGACATCGGAACTCCGAGGCCCTCTTCAAAACCTCAGCAGAAGCTCCTGCTTCCTTCAGTGTTCTCACAAGCACTTGATTGGAAGGGTGTCCCAGATTAGCATGTATGACTCGCAGCTTGTTCTCGAGGCTATCGGATTTCCTACTGGGCCGCGAAGCATCAGCATCAGAACTACCCTCCTTATGTTGATTGGATCTTCGGGTTCCAAAGGTTGTTGGTTTTCAGGAGCTTCGGTATCGGCAGGCTCAACATCAGGAAACAGGTTACCATCAAATTCAGGGGGTTCGTTGACAGGAACTTCAGGATTAGTTTTCCTTCTCTTGGCATTCTCCCGATACTCGTCTTGAACATACACATGAACCTTATTACGAAGTTCAACAAAGAGTTCACCCATGATGGCTTTGGCAAGAGTCCTACACAGCTTTGGGGGATACGTAGCCGACGCCACTTTTTTACGACTGTTCATGCTCACATGCTCCCCTGAACCATGTTGACACCTTTTCTGAATTGCCTTCCGAACAGCCTCCGAACTCGAAAACCAACCCCAAGGCTTCTGAATGGGACCCTGACCCCTTTTCGAATACATCCCGTACCTGCAACCATCAACCCGGAACTTCTCACCCCCACACAATGAAACCATACGGCGCACGCTGGGTTCCTTCCATGAAAGTGCACACAAGGGATGCTCTCCCCCAGCGTGACCTGCTGAGCTTTCCGAGCACATGCTGGTCTGTCCATTCAGCTCCTGTCTTTGTATCTCAATAAGCTTAGCACAGCCCTTAAGAACTTTCCTTCCATGTTGCCGGTTCTGATGGAGCTTGGCAAGCATGGCCGGATTCCCCAGAGCTCCGTTTGTCGCGGTTGACCACGGAAAACAAGGAGGGGACACGTCAAGGTATCGAGGGCGTAGTTCCTTGAGCTTTCGCACTGCCTTAGCTAGTCCGGCCTTGGTGGACAAGTCGTATCCATTATGAATACCCATTCTGAAAGCTCGACCCCCAGCCCTGATTACCGCAGCACTCAAAGGGGAATCCCAGGGACAACAAACTTCTAACAAATCCACCCGATTCCTAGTAACCGAACAAATGTTTTGCAAAACGTTCTGCCTCTCTTGGCGGGCTTGTTGCTGGAACAGTTCCTTATGGGAATCCAACAAAGTACAACTATGATCACTAAAGACACAATTCTCTTGCAGAGACTTCTCTTGGAACTAAAAGATTTCTGGGCTTGGCTTTGATTACAAGGCCTAGGTCCACTCAGGGGACTGTCCAGCGATTCACCCTGGTGGTGCTGTCCCTACTCCTGAGTGACAGCTGCTGCGGGGAACTCACTTGCCGTCACCTGGGCACAGGCCCTCAGGAGTCGGCTGACCTCGCCGTTCACATTCGTGAGGTCACGGGCAACCTGGTGGCCCTGGTATGCGGTCACGGGCAGCAACAAGTGGTATGTTGGCGCCCTCTCGAGCTGGATCGCCTCGCTGGAGATCTTCGGGAGCAGGGCGTGGCCGGTTTTGAAGTCAATCACTGCTTCCTGCTCATACAACCACTTGCTGGACAGGAGGAGCGGAGTTTGTCCTTCAAGGACATGAGCCTCCAAGCACTGCTCCGTGCCATGAATGCCCACATTCATTTGCACATGACCAAGTGCCTGACTGCTCTCGTTGTTGCCGAACACAAAGTTCTTCCTGATCTTGTGTTGTCCAGCTGGATCTCGTCCTCCGGCAGGAAGCCTAGGTCGTTCAGCTCGTCATGAAGGCCCTGCAAGGTCCAGGCGCCCACTATGGACTCAGAAGCACCACAATCCATGATGGCCTTGGACATGCCTCCAGAAGTCGCCACGAAGGCGTGCTCCTCCGGAGCGGTCGGTGCCTCCGAAGTTGTCTGGCACCAACTCGAAAAGACGAAGCCCACACCAGTGCCCTTGCCCTTGCCCTTCTGGCGAGGGCCTTGTGGACAGTGCTGTGCCTTGTGGCCCCATTTGCCACACC